TGTTAATCGGACAATCCAGGGATTTTTTTTTTATGATGCATCAGTTTACCCCTGTTTAACGTGGCGGAGGTATGCGATTCTGAAGTTCTTTCTTAGGCTGGATGACTTCGAAAAATTATTATTTTTGGTGACATATTACCAGAAGTGTGTGTCTTAGCCCCACTTTTGATGCTACAACAGGAACAATACACTGCACTGGCACTCGCAGTCACACGAGGGTAACATACATACACACATAAGCCGCGGGACACAATACCAAGACATGTAATACAGCACGGGCATATGGGACACAACAAACACATAAGAACACACCCACACAGAACACAAATAACAGGATAAGAAGCACGCACACATAAACACATAAGAACATACACACCAACACACACGCACGTGCATGCACGCACCCACACACATACAACAACACTCATGTATAGACTCATAACACAAAATCACCTCACAGTTTGGGTCTACTCTCTCTTCTGTCTCTCGTCTTCCAATCGTCTCTCTCTCTCTCGTCCTCCGGTCTCGCTCTTCTCTCTCGTCCTCTCTCTCTCTCTCTCTCTTCTATATATATAATATTATAATATATATATATATATATATATATATAATACAAACACGAGTATAAATGTACATGAGTATATATATATAATAAATATATATATAATATATATATATATATATATATATATATATATATATAATATATATATATCAGAGATTTGTGTGTGTGCGCGCGCGTGTGTCTGTCTGTCTATTTTTGTGTGTAAAACAGAGATATGCATTTTACTTCTCAAACGGTATATAGAGGACTGAAATAATAACCACCACATACACTCCAAAACCGTTTACAATGTACACCGTACCTGTGTAGACCCTGAGCCAACGCAGAACGGGCAGTGTAGAACAGCCCTGTCACAAATCAGCTGATAAGGAGAGCTGCTAAGAAGGCGATGTCTCCTCTCTCTCCTCCAAGTTACAAATATGTAGCAATTTATCGATGTTATCTTACGAATAAAAACCCTTGTATAGTCTGTCCTTGTACATATTTTATGAGGAAAAATGTGAAGGTTTATATGGGTGTATAGGAACCTGTTCTGGTACTCCATAGGACTACAAATTATTTAAAAATGTGTAGGGTATGATATATTTGTGAAATACGTGTTTCATATATGAGAAATACAGTTGGTACAGATTTTTTATTTTGTATTATTTTGTAGTGTAGTCTAATACAAAATGCCGTGTTTGGGGCATGTATTTTTTATGATTATTTTTCGATAGGCTGATCAGCATAGTGTCATGGATTATACCTTTCTCCATTTTATTGATTTTATTTAAGTCTGTCCTTTCATTCATTTTCTTTATTTACTTCCTTCGATCCAAGTAAACACTAAATAATTACCATATATTATTTTGTTATTTGACACCTATTTTTGTTGAATGTGATATTAAAATGCGTAAGATGATTGAATTTAGTCAAGAAAGTTGATATTCAGATTATAATCATTAAATAGAAATTAACTTTAGTGGATTTGTAGAAAACGGCTTTGTAGTTGCCCGACATCGCTGGAGGAAGGCGGTTGTGTGCAATTCCCTTTGTTTCAAGCCGGGAAATTTACGTCATGGAGCCTTGTTTGCTTTTAACCAAGTTCCAGTAAGTTTGCTTATATATCTAAGATGGTTTGAGTATATAGTTAAAGTTTGGCCGAAGTGTGTTAGTAGACATAAACGAAACAAATGGAAATCCTCGCAAACAGGTTGTTGTGGTTCAGTGTTGACGTTGCGAAGCTAGGGTCCACGAACATTTAAATCGTATGTTATATTCAAAATGAAAGAATTTCATTGTTTTCACGTGATATTCGCCTTACAAGGGTGCTATTAGGGTACTTCACATGTCATCCATTTTTCTACTTTTCTATTTCCTAATTTTCTAATATTTTTTTTTTTTTTTTTTTTTTTTTTTTTTTTTTTTTTTTTTTTTTTAGTAAATATTTTTGATGAATAATCAACTTGTTCTTGTGTTTAATTATTCTCTCATTGACCTGTTGAGCTACTTTTATTTTTTAAAATCAATGTTGAGAATAATTTGGTTGCACTAACACCATCTGGGTTTTGAATACATATAATAATAAGAAATCCCCTAGATTATAGTCATGGATGGAAGTAAGTGTCACAATAGGCCTAACTACTTTTAAAAATGGATTATTATTACTACTTTTTTACGATTAAAAAAGAATGGGTGCTTCAAGAACAACAATTTTATGCCCTTTTCCGCCATACTTTACATAAATGTTATAATGATGATTTAATTTTTTCTTATTCCCATATTTACTCATTTGCTTTCCATCTTTTTATTCGCCATTATTTCGTCAGTTATGAATTCGACTGTTTATTCACGTTTATTATTTTATTTATCTGTATTATGACGAGTTATTTATATTATTAATTTACTTTTCCAGGTACGTAATCACATCTGGGTCGCTGCTTACGAATACGGGAGATAGGAGAGAAAGGATGACGGCGATGAAGGTAAAGTAGATAAGAGAGAGCGATGTTTCTGGGGGAAAGAGGTGGGCGAAGAAAACACTTGGCGTCTCTTCTCTCTCTCTCTCTCTCTCTCTCTCTCTCTCTCTCTCCTCTCTCTCTCTTCTCTCTCTCTCTTCTCTCTCTCTCTCTCTCTCTCTCTCTCTCTTCTCTCTCTCACACACACACACACACACACACACACACACACACACACACACACACACACACACACACACACACACACACACACACACACACACACACACACACACGCTTCCATACACACGGGACACGTCTCACCATCCTGCTTCCTGTTGTTATTATTATTTTTCCCCCCTTCTTTCCCTTCTTTATTTTTCTCCTCCCTTTTACTCATTCTTTTTTTTTTACGATAAAGAGAATGAAAAACAAAAGACAGCGACCGTCGCATATAAATGTTTTATAAGCGGGCGAGCGAGAGGGAGATGCTACCCTGGGGGTGGAGGGGGAGGTCTTTGTGTAGTGGCCTCCCCGGGGCTCGGTGCCAAGGGAAGGGGGGGGGGGCAGGCGAGGGGGAAATGTGGGGAGGAGGGCGAAGGGGGATTTGATGGGGTGGAGGGTGGAGGGGAAGAGGGTGGAGGGGAGAGGAGGGGGAAGAGGGGAGAGGAGGAAAGGTTGATGTGGAAGGGTTTGAAGGGGGGGATTTTGGCAGGGGGGAGGGTGGAACGGGAAGGTAGAGGGGGAGGGTAAAAGGAGGAAGGGAAGGTGGAAGGAAGGAGAGGGAAGGGTGAGGGGAAGGAGGGGGGGGGGAGAGGAAGGGGAGGGAGGAAGGAGAGGGGAAGGGGAGGGTGGGAGGAGGGAGAGGGAAGAGGTGGGGGAGGAGGGGGAAGGGGTAGAAGGGAGGAGGAGAGGGAAGAGGTGGGAGGGGGGGGAAAAAGGGGTTGGGAGGAGGAGGAGGAGGGCCGGTGGTGAGGAGAAGGAGGGGAAACGAGACTGTGGAGGAGGAATTGGGGAATAGGAGATAGGAGGAGGAAGGAGACAATGAAGATTGCCCTAAGGGAGAAGAAGACGATGGAGGAAGAACGGAGAATAAAGAAGAAGGATAGGAAGAGAAAAAATAAATAGAAAAAACAAACCACGGGAGACTCTCGCATTGTCTCCGAAGTCACGTGGTTGCCTGTTCACTGTTGTCATTGTTGTTGTTTTTGTTTTTGTTTTTTTCTTTCTCCTGCGAAAAGACGAAATAGGCGGCCGTGTTCTCTGTCCCCGTCGAATTCATTTGTTTATTTTCCATTTCTTTTCTTTCTTTCTTTCTTTCGATTTCATTTGTTATTTTCTCTTTCTTTCTTTCTTTTTTAGAAAATAAATAAAGAAAGAGAAAATAACAAATTAATTCGAAAGAAATTTGTTATTTTCTCTTTCTTTCTTTCTTTCTTTCTTTATTTATTTATTTCTTTCTTTCTTTATTATTGGTTTACGTCATTCCCAGTTTCGTCGAAAGGATGTTCTATCTTTATATGTTTTGTTTTATAGAAATTAAGGTTTTTAGATAACATTGTGGAAGGTTTTCTTGACTAATTTCTTTTTGATTCTTAGATTCTAGAAGAATAGTTTCTAAATTATCCACGCGCACAAACACACACACACACCACACACACACACACACACACACACACACACAACACACACACATCACAACCACACACACACGCACACGCACGCACGCACGCACGCACGCAAACACACACACACACACACACACACACACAACACACACAACACACACACACACACACACACACACACACACACACAACACCACACACACATACACACACACACACACACACACACACACACACACACACACACACACACACACATACACACACACACACACACACACACACACACACACACACGCACGCACACACACACACACACGCACACACACACTACTCGCCAGGAATTACATTTGAACAATTTTTTAAAGGATTATCTCGAATCAACGACCATTTATCTTGCTTGATCCTTCAACGTATTTCAGGTCGACTTAGGACGCCATTATAATTATTTTCACTCATTTTTTCTCATTATTTTTCTTTTTTTTCCTCATTATTTCTCTTTTTTCTTAATTTTTCGTTTTTTCCTCATTATTTTTCTCTTTTTTCTAATTATTTTTCCTTTTTACTGAATATTTTTTTTCTCATTTTTTCCAATTTCTTTCTTTTTCTTTTTTCTCATTTCTTCCTTATTTTTCTGTTTTTCTCATTATTTTTCTTTTTTCTTATTCCTTTTTTCCTTTTCCATTTTTTTCTCTTTTCTCATTCTTTTTTCCTTTTCCTCATTCTTTTTCTTCCTTTCTTTTCTTTTTATCTTTTCCCTTTATTTTCATTTTCTCATTCTTTTTCTTTTTCTTTTTTCTCTCTTTTCTCATTCTTTTTCTCATTCTTTCTCTCTTTTCTCATTCTTTTTCTCTTTTTTCCTCTCGCAAGTGGAAGTGGCCATTATGATAACACTCTCCACGCCCACTGTCACGCCTCTCAGAGCAGCTGTGGGCGTATTTCAAGGGGAGTGGCCCACGGCGGGTACTTGTGATGGGCGGCTGGTGGGCAGTCTCTCTTTTTTCTCTTTCTTTTTTTCTCTCTATCTTTCTTCCTTCGTTTTTCTCTTCTCTCTGTTTCTCCTTTTTTAGTTTTCTTTTTTTTCTTTTTCTTTTTTTCTCAGTTCCTCTCCTATTCTCTGTTGTTTATCGCTCATATTCTCTTTTTTTTGTC